TTACATATCTTATTAGCCTGTGAGACTGACTTTTATTATTTTTTTTTTGAGGGGCCCATACTCTAGCCTTGGCTTGAAATTCACTGTGTAGAAGCAGAGTGAGTTTGGACTCAGAGATCTACCTTCCTCTGACTCCTCAGAGGCTGAGATTAAAGGCTTGTGCCACTACACTCAACATAAAGTTGGTTTTTTAAATCTTAGGTTTTGTGTGTGTGAGTGTGTAGTTTTCCTAAATAGCTTAGGTTATCCTGGTACTCCTTTTCTAGCCTAGGGCTGAGATTGTAGGTATGTATTGCCACACCCTGGCTTGTTTTTTTCTTGAGATTTTTATTTGTATGTGTCAGTGTTAGCGAGTGCCACATATGTGTGTGCCTGTGGAGGCCAGAAGAGGGTGTTAGATCCCTTAGATCTGGATTAGTTACAGTTATGAGCCACCCAATATGAATGTTGGAATTCCAACACTGGTCTTGATTCTGGAAGAATAGCAAATGTGTGAGTGTTGTCTGCATCTGTGTATATGTATGACTTTTAAGTGTTCCTAACTGCTGAGCTGTCTTTTTAGCTACCATCCCAATTTTATAAATCTTCCCCCCCTTTCTTTTTTCGAGACAGGGTTTCTCTGTGTAGTCCTGGCTGTCCTGGAACTTACTCTGCAGACCGAACTGGACTTGAACTCACAGAGATCAGCCTGCCTCTGCCTCCCAAGTGCTGGGATTACAAGGTGTGTGTCACCGTGCCCGGCTTTATAAGTCTTTAATATGGAGAAGAGGTACATTGAAAATCTTTTCCAGTGAAAAGCTGTCAGGGTCAATTCTTCCCAGAAGCTGTTCTTAATTTCTCATCCTGCTTGTAGATAAAACATTACATTCTCACTTTTTCCTGTTGTAATGTTGAAGATCAGTCATCTACTTACCACACAAGTACTGAGCTAGTATTGAGCTAGTTTGCTGCCCAAGAGTAAATTTTAGGTTAGTAAAACAAGATTTAAAAAAAAAAAAATCTGTTTTGCTTTTCAGAGAAAGTCTGACGTAGCCTACTCTGGCCTGGATTTGGTAAGCTTAGGCTGTCGTTAAACCCTTGGTTTTCCTGCCTACACCTAAATGCAGGGATTACAGCCATGTGTTGCTATGCCTGGTTGAAAATAATTTTTATTTATTTGTGACTAAGTCTATGTAGCCTCAACTGTCCTAGAACTTGATATATAGACCAAACTATTCAAATTCACAGAATCTGCTTTCCTCTCTACCCCACACCTTCTAGTCCTGGGATTAAAGGTGTATGCCACTACACAGACTCTGGGTCTAGGTGAAGTTGGTTGTTTTACTGCAGTGTGGGATAGTGGATCCAGTTTTTCTTTGTTGTGGGAGTCACGGGAGAGTGCTGCAAAGGAACCAAGTAATTTTGATTGCTGTCCCCTTTCAATCTTATTTTAGCTGCACTAGGTGTTCAGCAGCCATCACTTCTGGGAGCATCTCCTACCATTTATACCCAGCAGACTGCATTGGCGGCAGCAGGCCTTACCACACAGACGCCAGCAAACTATCAGTTAACACAGACTGCAGCACTGCAGCAACAAGCAGCAGCTGCTGCAGCTGCATTACAGCAAGTGAGTTTTTGAGTGATGCATAAGGTGATAAAAATGGCAGTCTATATTACATTTTTGCTGTTGCTTATGTTTTCTCTTTGATTTGTTCATTTGTTTTATTTTTGAGACAGGTTGTCTGTATTGTTTCTATTGGTCTTGAACTATGATTTTCCTACTTACCATCCCAAGTATGTCCTAGTATTATTGGCTGTTACCTTTGTATTTTAAACAGTGAAGAATTGTTAAAATTATATTGTAGCTTTGCTTGGTGGTACGTACTTATAATCTCAGCACTTGGGAAAGGAGAGAAGGAGACTATTAAATTTGAGGCTTTACTGGAGTACATAGCAGGAATGTATCTGAAGACAAAACAAATTTAAACTATGCTTTGCATAAAGTATAGTTGTATCGTTAGAAATCTTAAATTCTTCTGTTTGTCTTTTTTACCTGTTTTGTTTTGTTTTGTTTTGTGATAGAGTCTCACTATGTAGCTCTAGCTGTCTTAGAAGTCTGTAGACCAGGCTAGCCTCAAACTCAGAAGAGATTTACCTGCCTCTGCTTCCTAAGTATTGGGATTAAAGGCGAGTACCATCACTGCCCAGCACAATCTTAAATTCTCATGTTCCTGAGTTGGACATATATGCCTTATCAGTTTTATGAAAATTCTGGCTTTAGTGCCTCTCAGAATATAAATAATCATCGTTTTGTTAATTTTAGATGGAGTATAGCTAGCCTAGAATATTTCAGTGTAGTTTTTATCTGTATGTACATTATTTCGAAAGTGAATACTCTTAACCTTGTCTTTGTTTAATATTCTTTTTCAGCAATATTCACAACCTCAGCAGGCCTTGTATAGTGTGCAACAACAGGTTCGTGTAAATTTTTCATGTTAAAAACTGATTTAAAAGCAGCCACTTTCCTCTTTCCCCAAATTAAAGTGGTATACTTTGTAAATTCCTTCTTGCCATCAACCTTAAAAGTATAATTTTTAATCCTTTGGGTGGCATAGGAAATAGCTAAACTGTTGTAGCAAATTTGAAAAATGGCTGTTGGGCTATATAATGTTTATTTTTAGCCCTATGATCATCATGGCACTATTACTTAACCCACTATTACAAATAATAAGACAGACACCTGTTAGATTTATAATTGCCTTATTTACCTTGGGCCAGGCAGATATTTCACTTACATTATCTCACTATCCTCATCAGGAAGATTAAGATGGATGATTTTGGGTGGGGGCTAGGAGATGGACAATGACGTTAGTGAAACAGTATAAGTGAAATATCTGCCCAACCCAAGGCAAATAAGGCAATTATAAATCTTAACAGGTATCTGTGTCTATCTATTTATTTATATATGTATTTACTTTTTTTGTTTGTTTGTTTTTTTGAGACATGGTTTCTCTGTGTAGCCTTGGCTGTCCTTGACTCGCTTTGTAGATCAGGCTGGCCTGGAACTCAAAGAGATCCACCTGCCTCTGCCTCCCAGGGGCTGGTATTGAAGATGTGCACCATTACAACGGGCTCCAATTTCTTTATTAAATGTAGCTTAATACTTAGTTATTGAATGAGTCACTTAGAAATAACTGGTGTATGTTTTGAGATAGTTGTAAGCCTTGTAATTAGTTACGTTGTTTCTCACATTATTTTAATAAAAGGGCTAATGTGTAAAACCAAGATTAGAGGTCTAGAGAGATTCTGTGTTTATGAGCAGTTGCTGGTCCTCCACAGGATGTGGATTCAATTCTCAGTACTCATATGGTGACTCAGCAACTGTGTAACTTCAGTTCCAGAGTCAGATTTCCAATATTTATGTCTGGTGGATCACAAACACCTGTATCTCCAACTCCCAGGGATATGATGCCTCTGCCACCACAAATCGTACACTTGGTGCAGTTAGAGATCCCAGGCAAAACACTCATACACATAAAATTAAATAATAGATACATTTGTAAAGATAAAACTTTGAAAACAAAACAAAACAATGCCTTTATAAATCATCTCTGAAAGAGTCATACTGACTGGTCTTGTTTGTGTTTTCTTATTTTTAGTTACAGCAACCCCAGCAGACCATTTTAACACAGGTTAGTTTGCTGTTAATTTATTTTGAGCATCTGAGTTATTTCTGTTGTAGTTTTTCAATAAGAGTTTAAAGATAACATGTTTGGTTTGTATAATATTGCAATATTTACTGTTAGATAAAGATAAAAATTATGCCACTGTGTTTTGTGTTGAGAATAGTGTATTGTGTATTATATGCTTCCATTTATTTTACTTACTTATTTTTGGTATTTCAATATAGGGTTTCTGTGTGTAGCCTTTGCTGTCCTGGACTCACTTTGTAGACCAGGCTAGCCTTAAACTCTCAGATAATCTTCCTACCTCTGCCTCCTGAGTGCTGGCATTACAGGTGTGTGCTGCCACCGCCTGGCTTTGTTTTGTTTTCTCTGAAAGTGGTCTCTTGTATCCCAGGCTGGCCTCACTGGCTGTGTAGCCAAAGTTGACCTTGAATTTCTTGTCCTCCTGCTTCTAATTCTGGTGCTGGGATTACACATGTTCCACTAGGTCTGGTTCATAAAGTGTTGGAGATCTTTGTCAATTAACTGGAGAACATATAGGAAAACATCTCATGTCTTATTCTGGCCTCCATGTTTGTATACTTGTGTGTTCACACCTGCACATTTGAGTGCATGCTATACATACACAACATAATCATTTTCGCTTCATCACCCAGGTTTGGCAAGCATTCTAGCAGCTAAGTTATTCCCCAGACCCTTTAAAAAAAAAGAAAGAAAGAAGGAAGGAAGGAAGGAAGGAAGGAAGGAAGGAAGGAAGGAAGGAAGGAAGGAAGGAAGGAAGGAAGGAAGAATGAACATGGGACTAAGTAAGGCATAGTGGCGCATGTCTATAATCCCAGCACCCAGAGAGGCAGAGTCAGGTGGATTTCTATGAGTTCAAGGCCGACTGGTCTACAAAGCGAGTCCAGGATAGACAAGGCTATACACCTAGAAACCCTGTCTCATAAACCAAAAAAAACATGGGACTAGAGAGATGGCTGAACAAGCAACTAAGGGCAACTTGCTGCTGTTCCAGGGGAGTGACATTCAGTTTCTAGTATCTGTTTCTCACAGCTGCTTGTAACTAACTCAAGTTCCGGGCATTCTCATACAAATAAAAAATAAAAATCTTAAATGTAGATGGATGATTTCATTCCCAGCATTAGGGTGTCAGGGACAGATGCCTCTCTGAGTTTAAGGCCAGTCTATTCTATTTCAGGCAGCCCAAGCTACAAAGTGAGATCCTATCTAAAACAAACAGAAAAGCCCAACAAGAACACTTCAATTGAGAAATTGTAATTCTTTCCTTTTTTTCTTCCTTTCTTTGCTTTGCTTGCTTAGTGTTTTTCCTTTTTAAAATTTATTACATAATTTCTTTACAGTCTGATCACAACCTTCTCTTTCCTCTCCTCTCAGTCCCACCCTCACACCCTCTCCTCCCATCTCCCCATGAGCACCAATCCACCCTGACATATTAAGGGAGGAGGACTAAGTGCATCCTCTCCTACTGAGGCCAGAAAAGGCAGCCCAGCTAGGGGAAAGGGAACTAAAGGTAGGCAATATGGTCAGAGACAGCCTCCTCCAATCCCCATTGTTAGGAGACCCACAGGAAAACAAGCTGTACATCTACATATGTGTAAGGGGCCTAGGTCCAGCCAATACATTTGATTGGTATTTGATTGGTGGTTTAGTCTCTGTGAGCTTCCATGGACATAGTTTAGTTGACTCTGTAAGTCTTGTGGTGTCCTTGACCGCTCTGGCTCCCTCAATCCTTCCTGCTGGACTCTCCTGCAAGACTCCTGGAGTTCCACCTATTGTTTGGCTGTGGGTCTCCACATCTGTTTCCATTAACTACTGGGTGAAGCCTCTCAGAAGAGCTAAGCTAGGCTCCTGTCTGCAAGCAAAGCAGATAATGACACCTTATCATTAATAGTGTCAAGGTTTGGCTTTCTCCCATGGGGTAGGTCTCAAGTTGGGCCAGCCATTAGTTGGCCATTTCCTCAATCTCAGTTCCATCTTTATCCCTAAATTTTTTGTAGTAAGGACAGATTTTGGGTCAAAGGTTTTATGAGTGGTTGGTGTCCCTCCCCCACACTGGAAGTCCTTGACTACAGGAGTGGTGACTTCAGGCTCCATATCCTCTGCTGCTAGGAGTCCCAGCTCGGGTCACCCATGGATTCCTGGGAGCCTCCCTATCCCAGAGACCCTTGCCCCATCTTTCTTAAATAAAGAGGTCAAATTGGGCCAAGCTTGGTGATACACATCTATAGTCATTCAACAGGCAAGGGACCCCAGAAGCAGTTGGGTTACATAGGAAGCTTTTATCAAGCAAACAAAACTAACTTTGCTCTGCGCTGCTCACCTAGTTTGTTTGAGGCCTGGGTTTGATTCTCAGGAGTGAGAGACATACACATTTGAACACATGCCACAGAACAAAAACATAATTGGACAAATATTTAATTTTCTTTTAAAAAATTGTTTAAAGTTATTTACTTCTTAAATATGTGGTGTTGAAGCCACATGCAGTGGCACACACCTTGTAATCCCAACACTCCGGGAGGCAGAGGCAGGTGGATCTCTGTGAGTTGAAGATGAGCCTGGTCTACAAAGTCAGTCTTGGACAGCCAAGGCTACACAGAGAAACCTTGTCTTGAAACCCCCTATCAATGTTGCATGTTTAAATATTATGTCAAGGAGGCTGGGGAGATGGCTCAGTGGTTAAGAGCACTATCTGTTCTTCCAGAGGTCTTGAGTTCAATTCCCAGCGACCACATGGTGTCTCACAACCATGTATACTGAAATCTGATGTTCTCTTCTGGCATACAGGTGTACACGCAGATAAAGCAGTAATATACATAACATAAATAAATCCTTAAATGCCATGTCGAGATCAAGGGATGATTTTTCAGGGGTCAGTTGCCTTCTTCTATGTAGGTTCTCAGATTTGAACTCAGATCATCAGGCTTGGTAATGACTCTGCTGAGCCATATCTCTGACTCATATTTTCAATTCCTAACAAAACTCTCCAGTTAATTGGAAAAGCTATAGAAGTTCCTTTCCTTAGAATAAATATCTTCCAGACTATGCTTTAGAGCACAGTAAGTTAAAGAAATTTTCTTAGATAGTAACTTTGGTCAAATTAAAGAAATGCTGGGGGGGGGGGAAGAAATGCTGGGTTCTTTTTCTGTACTTAGGACTTTGCTAAGCCTTTAGCAGAAGCATTGTGTGGTTCAATGGTCTTTTGAGTTAGGATATCATATTAGTTTCCTTTGCTCAAGGCTGTGGCAATTGAGCCTCATAACATCAGCTTCTCATATGCTAGGATTATAGGCATGAGCTTCCATACGCGGGTTTTGGGTTTTGAGATGGGTGCAAACTAATATACATGCATAAACATACTGGTACACATTTGATGAAGGTGGGTGACAGTCTCAGGTAACTCCTTAGGTGCCATTTACTGTTTTGTTTTGTTTTGTATGAGACAGGAACTGTGCAGTCTAGACTGTCTGGTCAGTGAGCAGGAATAGCTTCTTTTCCAGCACTGAGATTATAAGCAATTGCCAAAATTCGTAGGCTTTTTCTTTGTTTGTTTTGGGAATGGAGTGATTTCTTACCATAGTACAATACTGGAGTTTACAATAATTTTTAATCTTTAGACAGTTGCAAGTCTTAATGTGATACTGCTTTGTTTGATAGCCAGCTGTTGCATTGCCCACAAGCCTTAGCCTGTCAACTCCTCAGCCTGCGGCACAGATTACTGTATCATATCCAACACCAAGGTCCAGTCAGCAGCAAACTCAACCTCAGAAGCAGCGTGTTTTCACAGGAGTGGTTACAAAGCTCCATGACACATTTGGATTTGTGGATGAAGATGTATTCTTTCAGCTTGGGTAAAAACTTCATTACATGTTGATTGATGATACGTGTAACATTTTCTTTTTTGTGTGTGTGTGTGTAACATTTTCTTAATCATGGCAAAAATTAGAATTTTATTTTTAAATTATTTATTATAATTTTATTTTTAAATAATTTATTTGTATATTTTTATGTATGTTCTTTTTAGATAAAATTGCATTTATATATGTATATATATATGTATGGGGTTTTACATACAAGTGGAGGTTAGAGGTGGAAGTTTGTTATTTACTGTTATGTGGGTTCCAGGGATCAGGCTTAGTCTTCCAGCTTGCTAATAAGTGTTAATTTCTTAATTCTTTATGTTTTATCAGTTAGGTGTTAGTTATGGTAACATATTCAAGTCTAGGTTTAGAGTAAAATTAGGGAATAAAATTAGGTAGGCGTGGTGGCGCATACCTTTAATCCCAGCAGAGACTTGTGGATGTCTGTGATTACTAGGCTAGCCTAATCTACGTAGTTTTAGAATAGCTGGGTCTTATCTAGTCTTTTTTTGTTTTTGTTTTCTTTTCCCCCTAACCCCCAGACTTTCCCTGTGTCTTGGACTCACTCTGTAGACCAGGCTGGCTTTGCACTCACAGAGATCCACCTGCCTCTGCCTCCCTGAGTGTTGGGATTATGGGCGTGTACCACCATGACCAGTTTAAAATCTAATCTTGATTTTTACATACTTAATACTGACTAAATTTTTTTTTCTAAATTTTGTGTGCATGTATATTTGTGTATGTGCTCATACATGCTTTGAAGGAAAGGTATACTCACCTAAGTACATGTGTGTGCAGGCCAGAGTTAGCTTTGTTCTTTAGTCTCTCTCTCTCTCTCTCTTTTTTTTTTTTTTTTTTTTTAATTTTTCATTTATACAGCATTCTGCCTGCATGTGTGCCTGCATGCCAGAAGAGGGCACCAGGTATCATTATGGGTGGTTCTGAGCCACCATGTGGTTGCTGAGAATTAGGACCTTTGGAAGTATAGCCAGTGTTTTTAACCTCTGAGCCATCTCTCCAGCCCTGTTCTTTATTGTTTTGTTTTGTTTTTTTTACCATAAGCTCTTCCACTTAACCTGAAATTCAACATCTCTGCTAGTGTGGCTGGCCTTCAAGCCTCCTGGGTCTATCTGTCATTGCCCTCACAGTCCTGTGGTTACAGGTGTGTCACCATTGCCCAGGTTTCATGTGGATATTTAGGGTTCAGACTTGGGTCCTTGTGTTTGTATGGCAATGAATTATCTCCCCTAGCCCTAAAGGTTAGGGTAGTTGTGAATTATCTTCCCCCGCGCAAAAAGTTAGGGTGGTTGTGATTGTTTTGGCTTGGAATTCACTCTTAAAATGCAGGTTCCCAGTGAACTCACAGAGATCTATTTGCCTTTGCCTCCTGAGTGCTAAGATTAAAAAATATTTGCTATGATGCCTGGCCAACGAACATTAAACATTAAAGGGTTGGGGTTTTTTGTTTGTTTTATTTGGTTGTTTTTTGGGGGGGGGGTACAGCGATTTACTATATAGACTTGGCTGACTAGAACTTGCATGGCCTTGAACCATAAATAATCCATTTGCCTCTGCCTTCTGGGTGCCAGGACTAAAGGTGCGCACCATCCTGTCTGGCAAATAATTGGTTTTCTTTTTCTTTTCTTCCTTCCTTCCTTCCTTCCTTCCTTCCTTCCTTCCTTCCTTCCTTCCTTCCTTCCTTTCTTTTTTTTCTCTCTTTTTGTTTGTTTGTTTCTCTGTGTAGTCTTCTCTGTTCAGGAACTTATTCTGTAGGCTAATCCATCCTTGACCTCATAGCTCCAACTCCCTCTGCCTCCTCTGAGAGCTGAGATAAAAGGCGTGTGCCACCTTTGACTGCCTAACATTTGTTTTTCAATTGAAAAACTAAATTAATTGGATCAAGTTTTCAGTGGGTTTTTTTGTTTGTTTGTTTTTTTTTTTTTTTTTGAGAAAGAGCTTCACTGTGTAGTCCTGGCTGTCTTGGAACTCACTTTGTAGACCAGGCTGGCTTCAAACTCAGAAATCTGCCTGCCTTTGCCTCTCAAGTGCTGGAATTAAAGACATGTGGCAGCTTACCTGCCCTTGGTGTCCTTAAAATATCAGTATTTCCTTCTTTTTATGGTGGTGGTTGCAAGAAATAGGATTTTTTTTTTTTCAGATTATTTAGAATTTTTTGAACTTTTACTTACTTATTTTATGTATGACTGTTCTATCTTATCTACATGTTTGCCTTCATGTCAGAGAGGGCATCAGATTCCAGTATGAATGGTTGTAAGCCACTATGGGCTTGCTGGGAATTGAACTCAGGACCTCTGGAAGAGCACACATCCTACCCACCGAGCCATCTCTCCAGCACCCTAGGTTTATTTTTTTAGATTAGTGTGTATGTGTGTGTGTACCTACTGTGGTGTATGTGTTGTTTATGTACATGTATAGAGTTGTTGCAGGCATGCATCAACAGAGAAAGACTTTGGGGTATTCTCAGTCTCTTTTTTTGGGTGGGTGAAGGAGATAGGGTTTCTTATGTAGCCTTGGTGTTCTGTTGACCAGACACCAGATTGGACATGAATTCATAGAAGAGACCAGAGAGAATTCGTAGAAGAGATCTGCCTCCCTCTGTTTTCTGAGTGCTGGGATTAAAGATGTGCCACCACACCCAGCCTTGCCTTTGAATCAGGGTTTATCACTGAACCTGGAGGTAGTCAAGTGGCTCATAGCTACCTGAAACTCCAGCTCCAGGGGGATTTTATACCTCTAACTTCTAGGGTACTAGTTCATGTAACCATATCCACAACAGACCCAGATTATTAAAAATAAAATCTTTAGGGACTATAGAGATGATTTAGCAGTTTAAAGCACTCGTTATTCTTGCAGAAGACCCATATCTGGTTCCCATCACCTATCTTATGGTTCCCAAACATCTGTAATTCTAGTTCCAGGGATCAGACACTCTCTTATGATCTCTATGGGCCCTGTCATACATGTGGCCCATATAAAGTCACTATAGCCTTTGAAAGACAGAGCCAGTCAAATCTCTGTAAGGCCAGGTTGGTGTACAGAAGTGAGTTCTAGGCATGCCAAGGCTCCATAAAAAGATTCTCCAAAAGAAAAGAAACAAAACAAACAAAAAATAAAGTGTATAAATCTTTTATGTGGGAAGATCTCTTTTAATTGTGTATAAATCAATTTGGAAGACTTTTTTGTGTTTATATTTGCCCTTTATTTTTTTTTTCCAGTGCTGTTAAAGGGAAAACCCCCCAAGTTGGTGATAGAGTATTGGTTGAAGCAACTTATAATCCTAATATGCCTTTTAAATGGAATGCACAAAGAATTCAAACACTACCAAATCAGGTACATAATTATTGTGTTTGGTACTATAGAAACTTGATACTTGGCTTTTATGTTTTATAATGTAATTTTTTAAAGGAATTTATTTGTTTGTTTGCTTATTTATTTATTTTCATTTGTTTTTAGAATCAGTCCCAAACTCAACCTTTACTGAAGACTCCTACTGCTGTTATTCAGCCGATTGTGCCACAGACAACATTTGGTGTTCAGGCCCAGCCACAACCCCAGTCATTACTGCAAGCTCAGATCTCAGCTGCTTCTATTACACCACTATTGCAGACACAGCCACAGCCCTTGTTACAACAGCCACAGCAGAAAGGTATTACATGTATGTTCATTTCTTGTTTCCAATGAATGTGTGGATGTTTAAACTGCTAAAATACTGAGAACATGTTTCTAGTTACAAAGGAATTATCATCAACTTCAGGAAAACGTGAAATAAAGCTTAAGTATCATGAACAGAACATTTTCTACTCCTAAAGTTTGCCTTCACTTACTGTTTTAAAACCAATTCATGGGGGAGGAAAGGATTACTTGTCTTACAGGTTATAATTCATCATTCAGGGCAGGAGCTGAGGCAGGAATTGAAGCAGAGACTGTGGAGGAATGCAACTTATTGATTTGCTCTCCATGGCTTGCTCACTGTTTTTTTGTTTTGTTTTTTAATTTATTTGTTTATTTTATGTATATTGGTGCTTTGCCAGCATTTGTGAGGGAGTTGGATCCCCTGGAGTGGGAGTTAGATAGTTGTGCGCTGCCATTGTAGGTGCTGGGAATTGAACCCTGGTCCTCTGAAAGAACAGCCAGTGCTTTTAACTGCTGAGCCATCTCTCCTGCCCCTCCACCCTTCACTGTTTTCTTACACCTCCCAGGACCACCTGCCCAATGGTGGTGCCACCCACCATTGCCTGGGCCCTCCCCCGTCAGTCATAAGTCAAGAAATGCCTCACAGACTTGCCTACAGGAAGGACATTCTGATATAGATACTTTCTTAGTTGCAGTTTCCATTTCCCAGATAATTATAGCTTGTTTCAAGCGGATAGTAAAACTAACCACAGTATGGACTTTTTTTTAATTTTTGTTTTTGTTTTCTAATGTTTGGAGTAAATATACATAAAATAGACATCACTGCCTCAGCATACATAAGTGTCATACATTTTCATGTTTTCCTCCTACCCCTAGATGATTTCTTTTCTCCCCCCTTTTCTGGTGTCCTAGTGCATGTATTCCATTGTCCTTTCTTTACTAAGAGATCCCTTTTTCTCAATCTCTTTTATAGTTTTGTTATCTACAATATAAACACATGCACATACATTTAAATTGAGTTTCTCCATATGACAAACATGTGTAGTGTTTGTTGTTTTGAATCTTTGCTCATTTTCTGTAGCATTGTGATTTCTGATTGAATCAATTTTTTTTGCAGATTCCATGATTTTGTTTTTCCTTGTTGCATAAAATTGCCATCATATCTATACATATATATGCGTCCTACATTTTCCATGTTTGTGTTGAGGAACCTTTTTGCTATCTCTTGAGTAGTTTTACTATAAACATGGGTATGTAAGGATATCTGGGACACTGACATATATACATTGACATACATGGGTCTGTACATAGAGTGGTATAAATGGGTAATATGGAAGTTTATTAGATTTATTTTTATGTGTATGTTTTGCCTGTATGTATGTCTGTGTCCCATGTCCATGCTCAGTGCCCATAGAGGCCAGAGGAAGGTATTGGATCTCTAGAACTAGAGTTACAGGCAGTTGTAAGCTGCCGTGTGAGTGCTAGGAATCCAAGTTGAGTCCTCTGGAAGCCAGTGCAGTTAACTGCTGAGCCATTTTGCCAGCTTTCTGGCTTGTGTGTATGTATGTATGTATGTATGTATGTATGTATGTATGTATGTATGTATTTTTTAGGTGCATGAGTTCTCTGTCTACATGTACACCAACCATATGGTTGCTAGGAATTGAACTCATGACTTCTGAAGAGCAGCTAGTGCTCTTAACCATTGAGCCATCTCACCAGGGTCCCCCCCATCTTTTTTTTTTTTTGGTGGTATTTTAAGACAGGGTTTCTCTATGTGAACTCGCTTTGTAGGCCAGGCTGGCCTTGAACAGAGATCCCCCTGCTTCTACCTCCAAGTGCTTCGATTAAAGGTGTACACCACCATTCCCAGCTTTCTCCTACTGTATTTAATTACTGTGTATATGTGTACACATACACACTCTTGAGTGTAAACGTGTGCTGCCAGTACACCTGGAGAACAGAGGGCAACTTTGTCGAAGTTTTCAATTTTCTTCTAGCTTTTTTAAGGTTCTAGGTATAGAAATGTTTTTGTGCTAAGTGGTACACGTGTACTACTTGCTGAGCCCTATGTTTTTGATTGATGTTTATTTTTAATTTGTTTGTTTGTTTGTTTTGAGATAGGGTCCTATATAGTTCAGACAGGCTTTGAATTCACTATGTAGCCAAGCATAATTTTGAACTCCAGATTCTTCTACCTCTACTTCTCATATGCTGGTTTATAGGCATATGCTACCACACTTGATTTTCTACATTTGTATTTATTTATTTTGGATTTTTTTCTGTATATCTTATGGTTTCTTTTAGATTTTTTTTTTTTTTAATTCCTTGTATTATTTTTACCTTTTCCCTTTAGAAACTGAAGGGTAAGTCTAAGTGCTTTGGCATGAATTGGTTATGGCTAATGCTTTGTAATTCATGCTTCATTTTTTAAAATGATTTTAGTTATCCCACTGTTAATAATTCTGGATTTGATTATTTGCAGGCATCAACCATAGATTTCTCTGTTCTTTTGTTTGTTTTGGTTTTCTTTTTTGGAGACAGGTTTTCTCTGTGTAGCCTTGCCTCTCCTGGGACTCAGTATGTAGACCATGCTGGCCTCAAATTCACACAGAGCCACCTGTCTCTACCTCCAAAGCACTGGCATCAAAGTTGTGTGCCACCACTGCCCGACTGATTTCTCTGGTTTAATAGTATCCTTTTCCCTCTGCAAATGAATAATCTCTCCATAATATCCCCATGGTATTTTAATATTCTCTAGCTATCTTATTACATAACATTCATTGATTTTGTGTGTATATATATATCAGGTGTCGGCAATTTGTAAGCTTTGAACTTTTTTTTTTTTTTTTGCACATACGTGCACACACACACCACACACACACACACACACACACACACACACACACACACACACACAC